TCCAGCCATAAAGAAGAATGAAGTCATTATGTTGTTTTCAGGAAAATGAATATAATTGTGATAATCATATTAAGTGACTGAGATTAGTCACCAAAAGACGAACATCATGTTTTTCTCGTTTGTGGATTGTAGACTTTATATAGATACATGAAATCATGCATGTATATGTATGCCATGAAAGTAGAAGAAAAATTGTCTAGGGGGCAAAGGGAGCTGACAGGAGGGATGTGGATGAATTTAAAAAAAAAAATGAAACCCAATTTCTTGTACAACAAATACTGAGCCAGGCGTGGTGGTGCACGCCTTTAATCCCAGCACTTGGGAGGCAGAGGCAGACAGATCTCTGTGAGTTCAAGGCCAGCCTGGTCTACATAGTGAATTCCAGGATAGCTGGGGCTACAGGAAGACCCTGTCTCAAGAAGACCAAAAAAAAAAAAAAAATCACTGAAAATTCTCTGGTGAAAAGCGGTTGTGTCTGAAAAAAGTTTAGGAAGTCCTGGTGTATAAAAATCAAAGACCTAATAGAAAGCATAGAAGAAAAATGCATCTAATTTTACAGTAGGTCTTCGGCTTCAGATGTTAAAAGGACTCCCCATTGGCCCTGGGGGACTCTCAGCTTTGCACTGCTTTGGTTCATGGGGATGTGCAGGTCACCTCTTGTTCATTTCTCCTGCTCTGTCCTCTGTCATCGTCCCTTGCTGTCCGTGCTCCAGTCACGTGGAATCACACTCAGTTCCTCGCATGTACTACACAATATGTCAATCTGGAATTTTCTATACATTTTCTTCTGCTCAAGAAGTGGGGAACCCACTACAAAGGCTTTTTCCTTTCATCTTTAACTGCATTTATTCTCTTACCTTAAAATATTGAATCACATAACAGAATGATCTGTTTGCATATTCCTTAGGTGTTCACAACCATACACACAGCATGATCATGTATATACATGCAATAATATCAACAGATGTTGTCATCATTGTTTTACCTATTCATTTTTGGATCTACCTATACTTCCCTATTTCCTTCATTCTGTGTTTCTTGCTGATATCTTATTCTGGTGGTCAATTTTCTGTCTTTCTGAAGAAGAGCCTTTAGAATTTTCTTCATACCAGACTTCTGTTAGGAAAATCTGTGTTTTTGTTTGTATGAATAATATCCACTTTGTGTTATTTTGTGATTTTTTTATTTTATTGAGACAATTTACAAACAGTGACACTCACATGCCTTGACTATACAGTTAATGAATTTTTACAAATACATGTACCTCTATGGCCCAGTCAACACAACATTTCTGTTCCCGCAGAAAGATTTCATGCTGCTTCCTGGTCAGTATCTCCAAACCTTCTGATTACTGTCATTTTAGGTTGTTTTTGAGTGATTTATAACCTTATATAAATGGAATCACATTTTTTACATAGGACTTGGAATTTATCCATATTGTTTTTTTACATTCTGTGTATATACCTCAATCTATTTATTCATTCATTTGCCTATTGACAACCATTTAATTTGTTTCTTGTAGGCTACTTTGAGTTTGTAGTCTCTAACATAGGCCCCTAACGATCTCCGATCCCTTGTCTCCATGTTCATGTGTAAACTCTTCCCTTGAGTGTGAGCCAGACTGATTTGTTTTCAAAGGACAGATGATGGCAAGTATTTTTGAACTCCACAAATACTGCAATGATCATCTTTATATGTAGATTTCTATAGATGATTCTATTTCTAGAGGCGAGGTTGGCTGGGGCCCTAGGGCTCCAGCCTCTGTCCCATTCTGCCTGGGCTGCAGGAAATGATCGTATCTTAAAACTTAGTATTGTTTTACCTTGTGGGTTTTAGACTTATTAGGGATCAGTTACCCTTTTCTTCTTGTCTGTCTCTCTGTTTAGAATGGGAGTATCTATTTTATGCCTACCCCGCTATTTTGTGTTTTGGAAGCAGACAACTTGTTTGATTTCAAAGACTCACAAAAAGGGGGTTGCTTTAGATGAATCATGCCTCGAATCTCTCTCTGATCTAATTCAGATGAGCAAGGACCTACATTTTTTGAGTTTTTGACTTTTGACTTGATCTGCAAAGAAATTAAGACCTTTGGTGTTACCAGAATGGAATGAATGTATTTTGAATGTCAGAGGGATTTGAATTTTGAGGATTGAGGTAGAATTCTATATTTGAACTGATTCCTCAGTGTTCATATACTGAAAACCTAATCCCCAGTGTCAGTGCAGAGAGGTGGGACTTCTAAGAGGTGAGCAGGTCATGAGGGCTTGTCCCTCAGGAATGAATTAGTGTCATTACAGGAGTAATTCATTCTCCTTCCCCTTCTGTTTCAGGCTTTCTTGACCATCCATCTTCTTCCACAGAATGATGTAGCAAACAGGTCCTCCCCAGATGCCGACTCTTCAAATTTGGCCTTCTTCATTTGAAGAATTACAAAACAACAACAACAATAACAACAAAACAAAAGCCATTCTTCATCATTCCCAATCTTTGGTATTCTGTTATAGTAGCATAAAATAGACCAACACAGTGGTGGTTTCCAGGTGTTCAGGGATAAAAAGAATAGATGCTGGTCAAAAAGTAGAGACTTTCAGCTGTAAGATGAATATATTCTGGAGATATAATGCATAATATTGTGCCTATGGTTAATAGTGATGTTTGTATATTTGAAATTTACCAAGAGAGTAGATAACAGTGTTTCCTCCATATATAACCCAAAAGGGCCACTATGTCAGGTTGTGGATGTGTCAATTAACTTGATTGTGGTAATCCCTTTACAGTATATACACATACCAAATCATAACATTGTATTCTTTAAGCATATAAAATTTTAGTTTGCTAATTATGCCTTAATAAATATAGCAAAAAGATTTATGTGTATGCGTGTATTGCCTGCATGTATGTAAATGCACCCATGCTGTGCAATGCTTGCAGAGGTCAGAAGAGGGTGTTGAATTCCCTGGAATTGGAGTTACAGACAGTTGTAGCCGACATGTGGGTGCTGGGATTCGAACCTGGGTCCTCTGCAAGAGCCAGGTTCCATCTGGCTGAACCATCTCTTCAGTCCCATCAGTTTATAAACTTTAAGCTCTGTTTATTTATATGGAAGAACAACAAAAACAAAAAATGAAGCCTGAAGTCATCTTATTAGATAAAATTACCAACTACTAATGTCCCTAAAAAACGAAAAGGCACGTACAACAAACTGCAAAATGAAAATGCATAAAATTAGCTTTTGCTTAACCAATATTTTTGTGGATGCAAGAGTTCAGGCAAAATAGGCATAGAAAAAAACTGCCACGGCCATGAGGAGGATGGCATTGACGTCCACTACATTTTTCCAGAAGGGTTTCTCTGATGTGTCTGTGAGTTTCTTCTCCAGGACTTCCAACTCCTCCTTAGTCAGTTTGGGTCCTGCCTTTTGCAAACCACAGAATGAGTCATAAAACTTTTTGAGACATCCTCGAGGTTTCTCAGGGTGATCTGGAACAAAGAGAGAAAAATAATCACTAAAGATGAGAAATAGAAATTCTTGTCAATGTTGTTTAGATATCTGTGAATAATGATTACTATCCTTATTGCTAAATATTTCCTGAGAAAATATTTATAAAGTTGACTGTATAAAAGCTGAAAAAGTCCAATAAACTAAATAAAAACAAATGACAAAACAGAGGAGGGATTTGCCCACCATATCTCGGAGGCATTAATATCCTTAATAGACAATGAATTTCTAAAAATGGAGAAGAAAAGGCCATTTAGAGCTCCATTTAAATATATTATAGAGATAATAAATTTAATAAAAGGAAAATGGTTCTTAAGCTCACTGATAAAAGATATTTAATTAAAAAAAAAAACAAGATACCAGTTATCAACCATCAATGTCCAAATCCAAATAATGTACTATGTCAGAGTCTTCATGAAAATATCCTAGGGAGCTTGGTGTATGTGGGGAAAAGTGAAGGAGCATCCCTTATACAATGGAGAGTGTACTGGAGAGAATAGTAGTAAGAAATAAGGTTGGAGAAGAGTTGGGGCTAGATGCTTAATCACAACATACAAAGATGGAACACTCAACATGTAACTGAGTGTCATCTTAGTAATTGACACATAGTATCATGGACAGATAATGCATAGACAGAAAGATGTACAGGTAGGTAGGACGCATTTCATATTCAACAAGTTACTGGGAAGGTAAAATTGTACACGTTTAGTTTGTTATAAAAATAATAGTGTTTTCAGAAGTTGGATTTAGTTGCATTAAAAAAAATCCTCAAGGCTGGGCATGGTGGCACATGCCTTTTATCCCAGCACTCAGAAGGCAGAGGCAGGTAGATCTCTGGGAGTTCGAGGCCAGTCTGGTCTCCACAGTGAATCCAGGCCAGCTGGGGCTATAGGGAGACCCTTGTCTCAAAAAGACCAAAAAAAAAAAAAAAAAAAAAAAAACCAACCCCCCACAACCTAAGGGGGGGGGAAAAAAAAAAAAAAAAAAAAAAAAAAAAAAAAAAAAAAAAAAAAAAAAAAAAAAAAAAAAAAAAAAAAAACCAACCCCCCCGCAAAAAACATCACTAAGCCATGCTATGAAAACCCAACCGTAAGTCAGACATTACCTTCTTCACTACCATCACCAGCTTCTTCCTGCCTTTTATCCTCTGCATCTAAATCGATTCTTTCCTCTTCACTGTTCCGAAGAGTCCAGCACAGGCGATACAGCTAACCGGGGACCATAGGGGAGAACGTAGTGAAAGGTGTTTGCAAAAACTGAACAGTTTTGTTTTAAATTGACACATAGTATTTATACAAGTTTGTGGAATACGAGGTAATTCTTTGATACACATATGTACCACGCAATTATCAAGTGATGGAAATTAGCATTTCCGTTTCCTTAAACATTTCCCTTTATTTTGTACTTGGAGCCTTCAAACCCCTCTATTTCCTTATAAAACACACAATACATTCTTGTGAACTATATTCACCTCACTGCTGTAAAAGAAGGTGGAGGCTATTTCTCTGGTAAGTCTACCTTTGAACTGGTTGTCCGACCTCTTTTTCTCTCCCTGTGGCCTTCCTTTCCTATGAATGACTAGGGGTTATCACTGTCACTTGAAATATCTTAAGTTCTATTTCTGGATTCATTATGTTTACACAGAATCTATGTACTAGCCTTAAATTCCAATTGCAGTTATACACCCCTTTCCTATCCCATATCCAAACTTCTGTCCACTATACCTTTTTAAAAACTTTTGTTTTGTTTGGGTTTTTGATACAGGATGTTTAACTTCTTCTAAACCTAACAGTTCAATGATTCCATTGGCTTGGGATTAGTTGAAGTTGCAACTATAAAACCTGAAAAAGATTTATTTTTATTATTTTAAATTACGTGTATGTGTGTTTGCATGTGGGTTTGTGCACATGAATACAGGTGCCCACAGAGGCCAGAGGGGGCAGATCCCTTTGGAGCTGGAGTTACAGGTGGTTGTTAGCCACCCTATATGGGTGCTGGGACCCTAACTCTAGGCCTCACAGGATGAGTAAATGCTCTTGATCACTGAGCTCTCTCTCCAGCCCTCCTACGCAATGTTTGAAGGCAAATAACGCCTAGCTTATACATCACTCACATGTACATCAGGAATGGGTTTTGTTAAGAAGGAAACTCCCAGGATAACCAACGCAGACACAGAAAAGAGAATGATGGCGTAATATAGATAGTGCACTCCACAGATAATCTTGGGACAGTCACTGGCAGCCAGGCAACTCCCTGTCCCATAGGAAAACTCTGTGATTATACGGATAAGGCCCATCACAAGCCCAACCATCAGACCCCAGAATGCTCCCTGTAAAACAAAAACCAAGAACACAATCAGACAGTTTAGGAAATATGAGAAACTTTCAAGAAAGTCAGAACTACTTACTACCGTCTTCTCAGTTAAGTACCAACACACAAGGACAACAAAACAGGGAAAATTTCAAACATAGATGTCATCAATGGAGTGCTGATCTCTGTGTTCCTGAAATACCATCACAATCTTGATTCTCCAATTCCGGGACTCTGACTCTTGGGTCAAGACTGACCCAAACTGAAGATTTTCCTGACTTTTCTTTCATAGTTAGCTTAAAAGCTTGTTCTTTCTTTTATAGAATAAATAAAATTATGATTCATGTTACACAATTTGAAGAACTGATATTAGGTAGTTTAGAGGGTTCTATTAAGCCATTGGCAACTGAGAGAATTTATTTTCTTTGAGAAACTGCTGGTGGTTAGAAACATGTGTATTTTTTCCCCTGTTCAGCATGTTATGTTTTAGAAACACTTAGACAAGGAGATTCAGAGTATGAGCCTTGAAAGAAAGAAAAGTGGGTTTGAATCATAAGAAACGAAGCCCCAAGTGAAAGCACATAGATGCTAATGCTCTGCACCCACCCCTTACCTGAAAATCATCATAATAAAGGAAACACACAGAACACTTAAAGATTAGACATTCAAAACAAAAAGATCAGTTATTTCCATCATAATAGCAATTAACATTTTAAATTTTTACTTGATTTCCAAAAAGTATTTTAATATATTATTTCATTTAATCCTCACAGTAATCCCACAAAGTAGCCTATTATTATTATCTTCACTGAACAGAGTGATGTTATTTACATCGCTATATTATTAGAAGTTGGAGTCTTGACTGAACTTTGACAAGTCTGCCTTCTAAACTAGTGCCCCCCAGCCCTGTGCCATGCACATAATGTTTTGTAATGCAAAGAGTGCACTATGAGAGGACAGTACAAATGTAGTCAGGATCCAGACTGATGGTGACCACAACAGACACCGAGACAGACCTTGAGCTGCACACACCAAGTACAAGAACGCATTCTGTGATTCCAGTGAAGGAAGCAAAATGTTCTCACCTAACCCTAGAAAAACCTCCCAGTGTTCACTTACTTGTTCATTGACTCTTTTACAGAAGATGGCAAGTAGAAAGACAGCTGCAATAGGAGGCCCAAGGTAGCTAGAGACTGCTTCTGTATAATGGATCAGTTGTCCCCCTTGAGATACCTCGACTATTGGCACCCACAAGATGCTGGTCACAATTAACACAGTTACAAATAGCCTGTGAGAAAACAAAATAATTCAGATATTAAACAACACTATCCTAGGCACCTTCACTGTGCTCCTGAATTTATTCTTGGGCCATTCGTTCATATTCAAAATGAAATGAAGCTCCTTGACCCCATATGGGCCCATGCTACGCTATCTAATCATCTGTTGTTAGTGCAATGCCAACAGTGCTTGGCTATACCTGCCATAAAAGCTTCATCAAAGATTAAATGCTCCCTCATAAAAACAGTTGAATGTCAGCTACTGATCAATAGTTCTCTGAGGCAATGTACTTGCTATATGAATCGGAAATGAATACTATATTAGTTTTATTAATCACCAATCATTTGTACGATAAACTCCAATTTTCATCTTTTTTTTAGCTAGAGGGAAACTAAGTTAGTTTGCATAGGTAAGAATTAAAATAGCCTCTATCTATCCTAGAATGCTGGATGAATTGACAAGAAATATAACCTGCATATTTTACTGTTTCATTACGCCAGCAGACAGAAAGGATTAATTATAATATTGAGTAGTGGTAAAAAAATCTATGGAAGATCCTGGGGTCCATCAAAGATGGGCTCTTCAGTTTTCTGAACTGCAGCAGCTTCTGTGTTTGCTGTTATTGTGTGTGTGTGTGTGTGTGTGTGTGTGTGTGTGTGTGAATAAATGAACAATTTACCAAACTACACACAAGCCCATCATCTGCTATCACCTGAAGCAATTGTCATGGTGGTGGGGTACCAGAAACAAGGCTTTGGGTAGGAGACTTAAATGTCTCATTTAAACTTCACAAAATCTCTGCAAGCTGGCTATAATTAGATGATAAACCATGAAAGCCTTGGTAAATGATCCAATCACAGTAAACAAAGGTCCAATAAATCACATGTATGGTTACTGTTGCTATCCTCACTGGAAAGAAAGTCATGTGCTGCTCCAGCTCACACAGTTGCTTTTTATCACATACAGTTATGGCTCCAGTAGCCCTGTGTGCCCTGCCTTTTGCATTTTCTTGCTCCCATGTGTCAACCTCACCCTTTGTCAGCAGAAATGCCATCCACGTGAATGACAACAGAAGGTTCTTTCTCCAGAGCCTTGAGAGTCGCTGTACCCCTTCATTTAGAACTTTGCTCAAATACACTCTCCTCAGGAAGATTTCCTGAGAGCTTGTTGCTGCTGTCTTTTAGTTCTGATTTATTTTATTTCTGACACTTCTCTTCATACGCTATAACCTGCATTTATTATCTATCTTCTTCACAAAGATATGACTTACAAAAAGCAGGAATTTTAAAAATGTATATTTTCCCATACTTGTATTTTAAGAGATTGGATCAGAGAGAAAGGACAGCCATCAATTTGTCATTGAGACATAAGGAGGATTTGTGTCCAAGATCATGTACTAAATAGTGGGATCACTATATATTGAGACACGTGAATATCAGCCAGCCCAGAAAAAAATGTGCCTTAGCACTCTCCCTGTCCTACAGCATTTACCCAGAGTCAGGATCTGGGCCAAGTTGAGGCCTTTTGGGTTTCCACTCCCAAGTGTTTAATTTAATAAAGCTATTGTTGGTGTCACAAGCAAAGAAAACTCTTTAAGTAGGTGGTCGGTTTCTCTTGATACCAACTTCACAAAACTGCTGGCCTTCAAAGCCTGGTCTTCCTAGGTGCTGGATTTCTTAGCACCATATGAGAATGCTTCCATGCTAAAACCACAGTGAGAAAGCTCCAGAAAAAGGGGAGATGCCACATCCAGGGGAAGATGCTCATTTCTCTTCTAACTGTGGCTCATCATTTACCTGAAGTGACAAGTCACAAGTAAATGACGACACATTTTTAGGATTGAAAATGTTCTTTGAATATATTGCCCATATTGATAAGTATAAAGGAACAGTGATGGATCCAATATCCTACCACTATGTCCACATTTAGAGTTAATAACATCAGTCTAACTTTTTCTAAGTCATAATCAATTTCTCTTCTTTCAAGACTTTTCCTACATTCCATTGTAATCAGAACCACCAAGTTTGAAAAGGCCACGAATGAAGGCTATTTCATAGTAATGTAATTGACAGTAATTAATATAAGTTCACGTGTACTAAGAGACATGGTGCAAAGCAATATGACCATGGATAACAGAGCAGATACATTCTGATAAGGTAGGAGTGTCTCACAGCAAGAAGCAAACTGTACATAGCAACATGACTGAATGCCACTAAAATAACATGGGCAAAAGAAGCCATGTATCCAGGAATCCACATTGAGTTACTGTATTTATTAGAGTCTGAAGCTGGAAGACTAAATCAAAAACATAAGAAGTCATAGTGATGCTGGGTGTGGTGATGCATACCTCTAATCTCAGCACTTGGGAGGCAGAGGCAGGTGGAGCTCTGTGAGGCTGAGGCCAGCCTGGTCGGCATAATGAGTTTCAGGCAAGCTGGAACTACAGGGAGATCCTGTCTCCAAAAAAGCCAAAATAAACAAACAAACAAACAAATAAATAAATAAAAGCATAAGAAGTCATAGTGGTTAACTTTGAGAAGACAGGGACCAAGTGGAGATTTTGGGTGCTCATGGTTTCTACTTACTACGTGTCCAGCAGTTACATATGTGCTCCTTTTGTGACATGTCACTGAGCTGTATAGTTACATTCTATACATCTATAAGTACTAACAATCTTTAATTCAGTTTACAAAACACTATGACAATATTGGATGTACTTGAACATAATGAAGAGGAAAAAGGAATCCTTCTTACCTACTGTTCCTGCTTATCTCTTTGTATCTCATTGCCTTCAAGGCCCCAAGGTGGACATAACTTTCTAAGCAACTTCATGACCCAGGCCCTTCCCCAAGTCTGTCCCTTTCTCATATGGCCCAATTCTTAATGGATGTAATTGATAATCTCATCTGTGGTAGTGTGTGGATGATTTAATTCATCATCCCCTTCATATGCTATTCATGGAAACTTCTAAAGATGAAGCATCAAGAATACCAGGTGGGAATTTGCAACAATATGATTAGAGGAGGTTGTGTGAGGAAAGGTCAAAAAAAAAAAAAAACCAAAACCATCAGAGGGGCTTAAAATCTGAGAAACTAACTATGTCATTTCAAAGTATGGCCTCCGTTTTTACATATGTAAAGAGCTAAGTTGTATTAAACTGTCCCTATGTCCCTTTCCTCACTGTAGAACGCTATGATTGTTTTCACAGAGATAGATATGAGTACTTTGGTTCACCTCTACCTCTTCCTCTCTCTACCGAGCTCTAGAGACCAAGGCCCCCTCACCGTCCAGCTATCAGGAGCTCTCTCTCAGATGCTTTCTTCCGCATCTTGGTGTAGAGATCCATAGTGAAGAGAGTGCTGGCACTATTGAAGACGGAGGTCAGAGAGCTCACAAGAGAGGCCACCATGACCGACAGCATCAGGCCTCGCAGTCCTGGGGCCAGGAGAGGGGCAAGTACTGGTTAGAGGCGGCATGTCATGTTCTATGAGGGCCAAGCTAAAAACAGGGAACTGTTCAAAGACAATGGAGTCATCTGGAATATTGATTATTTGATGCACCTATCAACCATGCACATCAGGAGTAGAGTTTCCTGCATTTTTTCAGGTGATCTGATAATCATGCAATATGGAATGTAATCTCAAATATAAACTTAGAGGACATCTTCTAGAACCTAATTTTAAAGGAGAGGAAACCATGTTACATCATCTTTCTTTGTAGAGATCTCTTCACTACCCAAAGATTTACAGAGGAAACCTACTTAGAGGTTCTGTTGAAGTTTCTGGAGAGAGAAAAGTCAAGAGCTTTGAAGCATCACCAGGACCTCATGCTCCAGTTCCCCCTTGGCTGTACATCTCCTAGAACAGAGGATGGGGGGGTATATGGTGTCATGCCTATGTGTCATGTCCCTTTATTCTGAAAATGTTCATGGCTGTCAGGGTAGAGAAATGGCCACAAGAGTGTTAGCAGATGCTTTTACCCGGTTGCTACTGAGCTCTTTATACCGTGTTCTGCTTCAATTCACCAAGTCACTTCCTGCCATCCTAATAATTTACTTATGTCATATGTGAGATTTATTTTATATTTCATGAAACTGGCTTGTGAGTTTCAAAGAGTGAAGAAATTTATTTTTGCTACTTCATCAATGTCTTGGGGCACCCAAGCTACTCATCTGTCTATAGAAAGCAATATAGTTAGCCTTGAGTTCTCCGAATACATAAGCCTGTAGCTAAACAATGCTTTTATTAGCAAAGGGACCATTCAAATGTTCTTAATTTACTTGAAAGAGTCTTGACCCTGAAAGGGTAAAGATTCTTCTAATGGAAACTTTATCTGGCCTATCTCTGGAATGTCTAGACTCAGCATACGACTGGCAACGTATGGAAGGTACCCAAGAAAGGTCTATGAACAAGACTGAATTAATGGAGGTAATAATTGCTAAGGATTATACCACAACCCTTTCTGTGCCCATCTATAGACCAAGTATTGAGGCTCTGTAAGCCTAGGCATTTACTTACCCATAGGCATCAGTTTCAGCACCAATGCTGGGTAGGCATAGTTAGTGCAGCCAATGTCAACACCACACTGCTTTACACACTCAGAAGGCACAATACAGGCCACCAAATCTGGGGAGATATGTGGAGGTGAGCTCAGTGAGCTGGACTCTGGCAGGTAGAGTTCATAACCATTGGACAAACAGATAAGGTATAAGACCCATGGGTGGAGGAAAGACACCTAGAAACAGAGGTTCTTTTTAAATTTTATGTCAAGTATCTGGTACCATTTTTATCCAGAATATTGCCTCCTAATTGTTTCATTCTCATGGTTTCTGATGCATTGACCTACTAGGTGGGAATCTCCCTTAAATATGACCCAACCAGAACTTTAGAGCATTGTAGGAAGATGATCCATTTTCCAGAAAGTAGAACAAATATAAATTCTCCTACAACACAGAACTACAGAGACAGCATCATCATCATCATCATCATCATCATCTGATGTTTTCACCTTACATCTACCAAGCAGTATCACTTGCTCTGCTCAATTATTGTGATTCTCCATGAGGAATGATACTTCACCTTTGGGACAGTTGTAGAATACCTTGATGATTTATGTTCTGAAAAAATTATTCTACATTTATTATTTACTTTATGTCTGTATGTGTAGGGTTCTACACATATGTGGAGGTCAAAGGACAGCTTATAGGAGGGAGCCTGTTCTCTTTTTCTACATTATGGGTCCTGGGACTTGAACTCAGGCTGTCAGGCTTGGTGGCAAGTGCCTTTACTCACTGAGCCATCTCACTGGCCCACGATGTCTGTTTTTGCTGAAACAGTATTATGATGCATAATAGGGAAAGATGATGTTTACCTAGAATAATATCATCTCAACTCATCAACGTCTTTGTAATAATTCCTTTAAAATCATTTTCAATAGAATAATATATTTATATGTTAGGTCCATTATGATAAATGTCAAGGTATTTTTATGGTTTTCTTTTCATGTTTAAACACTCTTAGCATTTATCCAAGTTTTGAATTAGTATTCCATTTTTGGTATACAACAATGTGGCTATTCCCCATTTGTTAGGTGTTTTTGATTCTTTACTGTTCTAGGCAACACTTAAGATGCCAGGGAAATAAACAGATGCTCCATAGAGAAGCATTGGTGGATTCAGTGTTACCTGACATTCTCAGTTCTGTTTCTTTCTCTTTTCATAATAAAGTTGATTTTTAAGAAAAAATTGAAAGCGCAGTTATCCTCAGCTGACTAAATTAATGTATCCCCAAAAACTTAATTCCAAGGCAGAGGAAATCTATTCAACTATACCTGTTTCAGGGAACCAAGAAACTGGTCCATCTTGTACACCTATTCAGACTCAGTCTCAACAGCTTACCCAAGTCGTACTTGCCAAATTCTGCCTGCAGTGCCCCGGTACCATATTCTCTACACTTCCTGAAAACAGGACTTGCCGTTTCAAATGTCTTCAAGGAGACAAGCAGAGCCCCTAAAGGGACCAGGGAACGCCCTGTACATGCTGCTTCCTCAACTTGTAATAGCTTTGCTATTTTATCAGGGTTCTATTATAGCTTTAAAAATCCTTGTAAGAATTCAAGCATAAAATAGAGGAGAAGTGTGTGTGTAGCTTGCCTGTGTACAGGATGCGGCTGATCATCCCTGGCATCACCATGAAGAATATGGGCAGCAGCTTCAGGTAGCCACACACTATGCAGGCAGCCTTCACATGAGACATGTTCTTGCCACATAAGCAGCGCTGTACAATAACCTGTCAGGAAAACACAACATTCTAGTGAAACAATCAAAAATGACATCAAACATGTCTTTGAGGGTTTAATGTTGTGATAAGAAATGACAGGGTTGGTAGAAATGCCTGGGCTTTGGAGTAAGATTGGGATTTGAATTACTACTTATCTTGTGTACCGTTTGATCTCATCCCTAAAGTAGGATTCTCTCTCTCAGGACATTCAGAGTAATGTAAGACCCTTGGTATGTGGAAGACAATATATATTAGCTACAGTAAAATATGTTTAGAGCATATTGGGGACATGGCTCAGTGGGTAAGGCACTTGCTGTGCAGGGATAAGGGCCCGAGTGTGGATCCACAGAAACCATGTGAAACTGGGCACAGTAGCAGGCATGTGTGATCCAAGTGTTCCTATGGCAAAATAGGAGACAGACGGGGAAGCCCTGGAAATTTGCTGGCCAGTTGGCATGTAAGAGGCAGTGAACAAGAGACCATGTTTCAAACGAGGTGGAATGCACAGACAGACACCACAAAGCATGAGCTCATGCACACTCATTCACAAAACCATGTGAAACTGGGCACAGTAGCAGGCATGTGTGATCCAAGTGTTCCTATGGCAAAATAGGAGACAGACGGGGAAGCCCTGGAAATTTGCTGGCCAGTTGGCATGTAAGAGGCAGTGAACAAGAGACCATGTTTCAAACGAGGTGGAATGCACAGACAGACACCACAAAGCATGAGCTCATGCACACTCATTCACAAACATGCATACATGTGAAGAGGGGAGAGAGAGAGAGAGAGAGAGAGAGAGA